GTTGTTTTGGAAAAAACAACTTGGATATCGTTTGTTACAAGTCAATAAAATATTTGATAATTTTCTTTGGAATTTGTTGAATTTGATCTGCTCTTCACTAGCTAGATGTTTTATTTATTCAAACTATTCTCATCCTTTCTAGCAAAAGCAATTTACTGGTGAATAGAACGCATGTAAAGGGAAAAAACCTAACATACTGCTTTTAATTTTGATTTTGCGTGTAGTGGTCTTGGAGACGTTTTGTTGAGCGGACTTCGTGCACTTTCCGAGCAATATCCAATGGCGGAGAATTACTCAACTTTCAAGTAGGTGGCACTATTCTTAAAAGGTATTGCTTCTCTTTGCACGTAACGACTGCATCGACTTAGGTTGTAAGTTCAAGGAGACCAGATATCAGGTCGTTACTAAGGAATGGGGCGGATTTGGCAAGGCCTGCTGCACTGGATGATAAGTAACTTATGCATTCGTTTCTTGTAGTTTAGCTAAAGTTTGTAATCTTTCTTTCTGCAGTTGGCTGTCGGTTCTTTTGATGATGGCGTACGTGGGAACAGTGACAGTGATTCTGCTCAACATTCTCGTTGCACAAATGATTACGACCTACTCACAGGCCAAGAAAGTCGCTCGTCTGGAATATGATGTGGATCGAATTTTACAACTCACACGCATGGAGAGATTTCCTTTTCTGGTAAATGTCGATCAGGCAATGGGACGGCGTTTTTCTTCAAATACACACCGACTTGTGTGTTTGAGATTACAAGCGATCGCGTAAATGTGCTGCGCGTGCGTACAAGAGTGAATGAGATAATGAACGGGGAGAAGTAATTAAATTCTTTTTCTTTTTCTTTACAGAATTTACGTGTGAAGTATTACAAGGAAGGCGACTGGATCAGTGAAATGAAACTCGCTAAAGGTTAGTAATGAATTATTTGGGATTGTGACTGCCCAGTAACTAGGCATGTCGTGTTTAAGTGTTGTTTGTTGAAATTCATTTTAGTAGGGGAGATTGCTAGGAAAACTAATATGGATATGGTTGCATCTGCTTGGAGAATTGTGAAAGCGAAAAGAATGGCTTCTCACGTTAAAAGCATATCTTTTGGTTGGCAAGAGCTATGGGGCTATTTGAAAGAACAGGTACTTCTAATATTCGGCGTTTCAATTTCAATTTCTCCCGGGGGAGCTGTAGAAATTTATGATCACTTGAAAAAGCTAAACATATCTTGCAATCCGGTGCTGTAATTCCTAGTACATACCATCCGTTTTGTTTTTTTAGAACTGCTTGAATTCAGTGAAGATCGCAATCCCTGGGAGTCAGTGGAAGAGAAACTTTATGACATCAGGTAAAAAATACTTTTCTTAGTATTAATTTCTGTATTGGCCTCATTAGCCGCTCAGAGAGTCCATTCGATTGTGATTTGGAGAACCAGAAGTGACAGTGACCAATTGAAATAAAGTTAAATTTTACTTTGAGCCATTGAAACTCAAAGTAAAACAAGCTAAGTGTCCGATGCACGGGAAAACGAGAGTGATCAAGTCCTGACTGGTGTAAATTTGGCATCTGATTGGTTAAAAGAGTGTTGCGGTTTTTATTGGACAAATCAGAGAGCGAAGAAAAGCAAACCTGAGTCGTTAAAGTCCCGGATTACTTTCGACACTCAATTGAAATTGTCTCTATGCTCGCTTGTGACTTTACCTTCTCACCCACCCCACTCACACACAATTTCTTTTTATACCTAAAGTTTTTTCTTATTGTGTGTTCCATTTGACAGGGATCTGATGAGAAAAATGGTCAAACAGATGAGGCCTGGACAAGAATAAACTGCTACAACAGGAATAATATTCTGTACCTTTCTCTAAGGATTTTCTTCCTGCTTGTAGATTTTTTTAACAACGTTAGACGTCTTTAAATATATTTTAAAAGGAAAAGGTAGGGTGATAATTTTTGAGAAGCTTTAGCCTATTTTAACAGGGGGCTAGAACTAAAACAGTTGTGGTTAAGATCACTCGGAGAAATTTCCACCTTTACACAATGCTGGAAATCAAAGAATAAAACTGAAAATGGGTATGAAAAAGTAGATTCATTTTTCTACGACAAGCGACGACAACCTAAGGCTACTAAATAGCTCCATACCGGACGAAGGAACTTAAGCCGGTATGGTACGAAGATTGAACAGCTTAAAGTCAGCTTTTTGAACTTTGTTTCCTCTACGTAGATGTCTCATTTCAACAGTTGTCTGTAACCAGGCGTGCTTTTCTCGCAAGACCCGAAAATTTCTTGTTTTAAAATTTATCCGGTGTAGTTTAGACATGGCCTTTCATAGTTAGTGATCTATGACATGCGTATGCATATGTAATGCTAATAGGTCAGTTGACCTACAAGCCAAAGCCATGCCTACGCCCTCTTAAGTTTTCAGTATCATTCTTCCAGTGTTTTTGTACACTGCCGTCTTAATTTCTTCAGCCATTCTCCGACCTCGTCATTTGCACGGCGAGTTTATTTGCGTAACTACCCAGGATAGATTAGTGAAGTGTGATATCCTTCATCTGTTTCTGCCCTTAATTCTTATATGTATCTAGTTAAATAATAATTTCATCTCGAAATGAGGTGTGCAATGCTTTAACTAACTTTAATTAATCAGACATAAATAGTTCATCGCTATGTAACCCCACGCTGAGACATACATTACTATTATTTTGCTAACTATACAATTCGTAATTCTCTCATTACAACAACTTTTACTAATTTAATTTTTAATTACTCACGCAGTATTCAGAAAAGTAGTATTCCACCTGTACTT